AGCCGAAGCCATCGAACTGTCTTGGGAACACATTGAAGGCGAGGTATTCTCCTCGGCGGGCTCATGGGGTGAAGCAAGTTGTTGGCTTTTCTTAGCAAAAGGAACAAGCACAACGAATTTTCCATCACTGATTTGGTGACAATCTAGTCGACTATGTAAACCCAATTTAGAACCCTACACACAAGGTACAAACTTTTTCAAAAGTCATGCTTTAGTAACTGAAGAAAGAAGATTCTTTTATACAAAACGAAAAACACACAAAACACTTTTAAACCCTAAACAAGAAACGGAATCTAATACAGTATAAAAAAACCTAGAATAGCGAAATTAAGAAGCTTGAGACTTGGATTCTACATTGTTATTAAGAGATCTGTCATCCTAACATCGTAAACGTAGAAGATCGATTACCTTGAAGAACAGATGGAAATTTGGGTGATTTTTGGCGGGAAGAAACGATTCCTTCAAAATCCTTTTGAGATCAGCAATGGAGGCGTTTGGGGGTATTGGGAGTGTAATCGATTCGCCCTCGAGGCTTCGAACTTCGATGGACGTCTCCATCGATCCCCCTCTCTCTCACTCGACCAACCGCTTCAAAACCCTAATCAAGTAGACGCCTTTTCGCGCGTGGAACAGCAGAAGGTGAAGGCGCCACGAGTTTGAGGCTTGTCGACGGGTTTGTGCGTGTTCTGCTGGGCCTGACCTACGAACCGGCCTGCCCGATTTTGGTCCTGGCCAGTTCAGACCCAGGCCTGGGCGGGCCTCGACTGGTTGAGTCGATGAGTTTTTCTCCCGTTCTGGCTAGACTTAGCACGGTCCAAGGCACGCATGGAGCAAGGCTGAGTCCGACTTGGCTCACAACGGCTCGGGTCGCGGGTCGGACCACATTCTGTTTTCTACTTAGTTTTTTTTCTTTTCAATTATTTTGCTAGATTATTAGGTATAGTTTAAAAAAAGCTTATATTTTATTTTTCTGAAAAAATTAGACCCTATAAATTTACATTTTGTGATGGAATTATCTTATAGGACAAAAAAAATTCACAATAATTTGAGTGTTTTAAATCAAAATAATTATAAATATTCATCAAAATATTGAATAGAACTTAGAAAATATCTATTATTACTAAAGTTATAACCCAAACATCCGTAGGGTGCATTTTTTAATTGAGTAGTTACCAAAATACATCAAAATAACTATCACCTATGGGCCGGGCTGTTTGGTGGAAAGTTGGTTATTTCATTAACGGACTCATCACAACTTTAGTCGTTACAATGATCTCAACAAATGAAAACATTCTGAAAACACACACAACAGACGTTTATCACCCGTTGTTTGCGTAGGATATTGGCCTGTGCCGGGGTTTATCCGTGGACCACCGACTGATCAGCCAATATAAAGAATTTGTTGCCTCGTAAAGGAGACAAGAAACTGAAGTAACTATCTCGGCAAAGCGAGATAATCACTCTTCTCGAGAATCGTAGCTAGGTACGATCTTAAGGAAATGGATGAACGTGTGCAGATCTCTCGAACTCTTCCTTTTTATGTTGAAGAACTCACCAAGATCACTTCCTCCTCTCTAAAATTCGTGGCTCCTCACTCTTTAATTCGACAGGGCTTCGCCGAGGCTTCAGAATTCCGGATCTGTGCAAATGAAGGCCCTAGGGCTGTATTTATAGGCTTTTAGAAGTCCTGTTTTATGATAAGAACGAACGATTTGATCTTATCTTCAAATGTAACCACTTAACCACGTTTATTAATGACCTCAAATCAGTTGGGGAGGCTGTGGACTAGAATCAGGGCAGTTAACATCGAAGAAACGGCGTAAAATGGCTTTTTTGGGGACCGGGACAGTCCTGGCCAGGCCTGGACAGTCCTGGCCAGGCCTGGACTGTCCTGGCCAGGCCTGGACTGTCCTGGCCAGGCCTGGACTATCTCGGCCCTAGCCAAGACACAAACGTGTCTTGGCCTTGGCCGAGACGTCGTTTTGCCCCTTTTGACTGTTTTCACTGTAATTCCTCGGTCCGATCTCGGAATAACGCGATTCAAAATACATCAGAAAGCCGAAGAATAGATCTACAACCTCCCATGGGCGAAACACGAATGGCGCTTCACCTTTCATGAGTAAAATGTAATTCCCGATTAGACCATTTCTTCGCTATTCTGCCGTCTCGTTGACTCGTACGCTTCGTCGACTCGCTTCATTCGCTGGTCAACGTTAGATAATCCTCTTTGACTCAAATAATAATGCTCATCATCTTCTCTCTATCTCGATCTGCGTGTGGGAACCCATAGGTAATTTTTGACGCCTACAGCTACCGCCTCCAAAGTGTTTCAGTCTCGTTTCTTTTATAGAAGAGCCTGAAATACTTTGAATGTGATAGGCCCAACCTTCAGTCGGTGTAAAAGGACCTGCAATTAGCTTTAGTTCTTGACTTCTTCAATTCTCAGTCTATTTAGTATTTTGTCGAATAGCTAAAATTCTTTCGATGATGCATTTATCGTCTGACCGTTGTCGAAGTCTCGAATTGAAACATGTGTGTTGATCTTTGATTTTTGATCGTGTCGTTTAGTCGACGTTGAACTGATTATCTTCGTCGGAGGTTCGTGTCTGAATTACGATTAACTCCTGGGATCATCCTTTGTTCTGAAATTGATCTGAGCCTTGTTTTAGCTAAAATTTGTCGACGTATTGACCTTCTTCGCAATGCGTTGATCAGCGTTGACTTATGGGTACGTTTTGACCAGCATTGACCTTCATCGCAATGCATTTACCGACATTGACTTTCATCACAACGCGTTGACCAACGTTGACCCAAGGCTGCGCTTTAACCAACGTTGATCTTCATTGCAACACGTTAGCTGATGTTGATCTAAGGCTACGTGTTGATTGGCGTTGACTTTCATTGCAATGTGCTGACCGACGTTGACTTTCATCGCAACGCGTTGATCGGCATTGACCTTCATTACAACGCATTAAACGATGTTGACTTTCATTGCAACGCGTTGACCGGTACTGACCCACAGCTACGCATTGACTTTCATCACAACGCGTTAACCGGCGTTGACTCACGGCTACACGTTGACCGACGTTGACCTTCATTATAATGCGTTGACTAGTGTTGAGTTTTATTATAACGCGTTAACCGACGTTGACTTTTATTGCAACGTGTTGACCTGCGTTGACCCATGACTACGCATTGACCGGCATAAACATATTTTATTCTCGTATGTTGACTAGAGTCTACACAGTTTAGGCTCTTAAGGAGTTGGAGTGGGGAGGTCCAGTTTATACTCATATACTCCTAGGAGTTTCGGGAATCAGTTTAACCTCGTGTACCCATTGGAGGTTCAAAGAAATACAGTTTATACTCATATACTCATCGGAGTGTGAATACGGGCTAAATACACCGTAATGGCCAATAACGGGCGAATACGCGCCAAATATAGCATTTTAAATGAGTGGGACCCCATTCTGGGCTCGGGATAGAATTTTGATATCGGGATAGAATTTTGATATCGGGATAGAATTTTGAGCTCGGGACAGAATTCTGAACTCGGGACAGATTTTTAAACTCGGGACAAAATTTTAAACTTAGGACATAATTCTGAACTCAGGACGGAGTTTTAAACTCGGGACAAAATTCTAAACTCGGGATAGAATTCTGAACTCGGGATAATCTCGGTTTGGCAAGAGAGAGAGAGTTCATGAGAGAGAGGAGAGAGAAAATAGAGGAGAGAGAAGGCCGGTCCCATGATCAAAGGAGGAGAGAGAGAAGGAAGGTTTTTGTCCAAGTGTTTTTAGGTGGTCTTTCAAGAGTTCAAAACGAAATGAATTCCCCCTCTTCTTCTCCCCAAACTCCTATTTCTTTCTCAAACTCCTCCAAACCCATACTTCCTCCTCTTTAAGAGTTCTAAACCCACTCATATTAACCCAATTAAATCCCTTAAAACCCTCAAGAAATTCGGCCAAAGTCTCCTCTTTCAAGATCTAGGGCAAGCTCTTTGGGTTGGGTTCTTGGCATTGGGTTAAAGCTTCTTGAGTTCAAGCCTCTTCTTGGGTAAGCTTTTCTCCATAGCTTTGATTTCGTATGTTTGACTTGATTCAAAAGATCATAGGTTTGGATGTAAAAATTAGAACTTTGATATGAATGGGTGTTCATGGCCGAATTTTTGTGGACATAGGTTTGAAGTGAATATGGCTAAATTGTTTGGATCTTTGGGATGACTTTGATGGTCGAAACTTTGAGCTTGGGTATGATGCCATGGTGGCCAAAATTTTGAGCTTGAAGATGACTTGGATGGCCGAATTTTTTTGTGAATGAGGGGATGATGATGTGGCCGAATTTTTGAACTTGGGTTTATGGATATTTTGTTCAAAGTTTGAGTTTGAGGATGATGGGTATAATGGCCAAACTATAAACTTGAGGATGATGGCTTCCCCTTTCAACCATGGATGAAGTTTTGAACTTGGGTGAGGGGTATTTTGGGTATTTTTGGCCAAAATTTGACTATGAGGGGTTTCAGATGAAAATCGAACCTGTCATTTGTATATATGGATCCCGTAGGTTTAATTAGACTCTAACCTTAAAAACCCATTTATTTGTAGGATTTTAGTTAAAGTTCATAATTTCCCTTTTTAATTCCGGGTTCTTAAATTTGATATTGTACTTGATTCGTTGATTTTCATTGTAGGTTAGCCATGTCTCTATGACGATCGCGCTTTCATAGGAGTCGCTCCATTTCTCAACATAATGAGAAGGAGGCTTCTGTAGTTTCTTCACACAGGGGTGAGCCTTCATAACTTTTGGTATTCTGTGTATTGCACCCTCGTTTGTCTCCTTGGCGAGTCAAATGGGAAGAGCTAATATCCTCCTTCATGGGGATTAAAACTTTGAGAGGCGTGTGTTGCTTGGCTAATTCATGTTTTCAGGCATTCAGGAAAATTTCAGGTTATACTGTACCCTCATTTATCTTCTTGGCGAGTCA